GATGAGCAGGTTCCCCGTGCCGTAGAAATGAATCAGGAAAGCCTGAGCCATGCAGGCAGAGTGAGAGATCTGTCTGTTCTGAGTCACCATGCTGGAGAGCAGCTGAGGGAAAAGAGCTGTGGCACCTGTCATGTCGCTGATGGGCAGGTTGATCAGCAGGATGAACATGGGTCTGTGGAGCTTCTTAGTTACAATAATAGTTGCGATCAACATCAAGTTGAAAAACATTATCAATACGTAGGTCAGAGTGCCGAACAGAAACGTAGGGTAGATGCCGACGTCAAATAAACCCAGCGTCTCCAGTGTGAGTGAGGGAGATAGAGATCCATTTGCAAACATCCTGTTCTGCCTTAAGTCAATGTGATGCTGCTGTCCTGTGTTCCAGCAGCGTGACTTTATTACATCACACAACAAAAAAACACCTAGAAAATAAGCAATCAAATGTACAAAGACAATTTTAAGGTTTTCAACAGTTACATTTGTTTTATTTTATAAAAAATTACCCAAAGTAGCTATGTCATAAATAAACACAATGTGAAAAAACAGGATAACAGAATAAATAATAACTGTGTTCAAAATCATCTTGGTAAAAATAAGCAGCCGAGAACTAAGTCTCATGAAAGGTTAAATAAAAAGATTGCTTAGACTACTGGCTGTATCTTTTTTAACCTTTTTTTAACCTTTATTTAACTGGGTTGGGTTGACCATTCCAAAGTCTTACACTTAAAATCACTAAATCGAAACAAAGAGAAACAGCAGAAAGGATTGAAATACAAATATACTTTTCTGCAAGAAAAACACAGATTAGTCTTTCTGTTGATATGTTTTGAAAGATGCAAAATAGCCTTTTTTCAATCCTGTCACTTTTATAAAAAAAAAATATTTAGGCTGAGAATTTGTCAAAAATACAATGCATCGCTAAAGATTAAATCTAGACCAAAATTCCTACATGTTAAACACATGTCACATTGACCTGCGCTCACCTGCAGCTCAACACAGATGATGGAGATCAGACAGGAGACTCACGACATCCATTAATATTTAAACCTGTGAGTAAACACTCATTAGTTCCAGGAGTATTGGGCATTGGTGCCCAGTGTTCGCCAACATGTGACGTAACAAGTTTTTCAAATATGTGTTTTGTTAACAACAACAAACTGAACCTGGTGCTGCCTATTAATAATTGAAAAAATATAATAACTTTATTTATTTTTTAAAGTATTTTTGATATAGAGGTGTTTTTCTTCACAAAATACTTATAAACGTATTTACCTCCATTAGCCTGATTGCTAATTGTTTTATTTAACCTTTATTAAACCGGGAATTCCTTTCAGGTGAAATGGCTGTTCCGAGGGAGACCTGGCCAAGAGGCACAATAGTTTCACAAGCACAAAGTGAAGGGAGTTAGCCCTGGAGCTAACGTTAGCTTCGGCCCTGAAGCAAATCACAAAGTCTCCCCTGTGCATCCCAACTATGGTCGGGGCGCCGAAGCAGGAAAGAGCTAACGTTCTATTGTTAAAAAAAAAAAAAAGCAGTTATTTAATTAAAAGTAAAAAACTTTTTTCTTCTTTTTTTCTTCTGAAATTTAGTGAGTGCGCTTAATATTCTTGTCTGGAAGTTACGGTAACTTTACATTCCTATTTCATCCTCACTTGAGTATCACGTAGTATTGCAGTTTTACCAAAATGTTTAGCAAATTCAAATCATTGTGCAATAATTATATCTATATTCTTAAACTGTGTCATTAAGGTATTTTTTGTTATATTTTTATTTTATTTTTTTAAATGAAGTGCTCTCACATGACACTACAGCATGGAAACACGTTAAACAAAAATATTTCATCATTCTATTGAGTGTTTTCATTTATTACTCCTGCTTTTTTAATGTATTGAGTAATATTAGAATCCTTGAGAAAATAGGTGTAATTTCAGTGTTTTTTTTTTCAAATGTTTCAGCTTCATAACTATTTTCTATCTACTATCCATCCAACTGCTCTGTACCTTTTAAACCAAGTATCTCCATTTGTGTTTGTCTTCATCCCTTTTTACTGCAAAGTGTATCAAAGCAAAAACTGGACTTCGGATGTCTTTGTATGGAGTTTTTTCTTTATTCACAACAAAGCGTGAACACAATGTCACCAAAGCTGTAAAATGAAGTAGTAATACATAAAAACAATTTTGAAATAAAAAAAAATTCAAAAATGTATTGTTTTTCAGTAGAATCCAAAAGAAAGAAAAAAGGACTCAGTAGAATCCGAAAGAAAGAAAAAAGAAAAAAAGACAAATTTTAAATTGAATTACAAGTTTACAATTACATACATGAGTTATACTGCTGCAGATCGACAATTTGACGTAAACCATTGTCTGTTGTAATATATATGAATAAATTGGGGAAATGCAGGAGACAGGAAAATGTAAGAGACACTCTGTAACCAAATGTAAAAATAATTTAACCACTTAATATTTCCACTGTGACATTCTTTGCTATTTTTGAAATGGCACAGTACATTTAATTATTTTTTTCCTCTTTTAAGAAGACGTAAATAAATCATGCAGATTCAGGGGGTAACTTTTGTTCTCAGGACTGTGAGGAGTGTGTTTCTGATTTCACTGGTGTAAAGCCCGTACACGATGGGATTCAGAAGCGGGGGAATAACAAATATCAGCATGCCCATTATCTTTTGCAGGTCGGATGAGATATTTCTAAATCTGTGGGATAAAATAGTGAACATCCCCACGATCTCAAATATGATCAAAATCACCAACTGTGCAACACAGGTGTTGACAGCTTTCATCTTAGCTTCAGGTCTACTGGTGAGCAGACAAGCCAAGAGGATCTTGGCGTAGGAGAACGCCTGGATGGACAGACTCACAGCCTGCATGATGGCTGTGTTGAACAGTCCTATAATGTTGTTGACTGTGGTGCTCTCACACGTGAGCTTGAGAAGAGACGGGTTATCACAGAACACGTTCATGATGGCGGACCTGCACCTCGGCAGCCTGGTCTGCAGCGAAAACAGCAACACAATCAGAGCAAAGTCCAGACCCCAGACTACAGCAATGATGCAAATGAGAACCCTGGGGGTCATGACAGAGTTGTAACGCAGCGGCATGCAGATAGCAACATAACGATCGAAAGACATGGCTGCGAGGATGAACAAAATACCACCGCCGTACATGTGCAGCAGGAAGGCTTGTAAAACACACAGAGGATATTGGACCCTGTTGGTCTCAGTGACAATGTCTGACAGCACTTTGGGCAGCATGGTGGATATTCCGATCAGGTCGTTAAGAGGAAGACTGAACAGGATGAAGTACATGGGTTTATGGAGGTTTTTCTTCAGAATGATGAGCAACAATAGGATCAGGTTACATACAACGATGAAAACATAAACTGTCACGCCAAACAGAAATATGGCATACTTCCCTCCTGCTGGGATAAGAAAAGGATCCAGGGTTAAGTCAGAGATTAACCAAAAAGATTTGTTGTCCATTGTCATTCAAACAAACAGGCAAGACAAGAACATCAGCATGAATTATGAAATTAGAGTCAGAATGTGTGAGTTGAGTCAATTCAGGACTGAACCTGAAGTGCTGACAACAGCGGTGCCCTCTCTCTTATTTAGTGTCAGCAACAACTCAACTGCTCTACGTCACTTTTTGCCCCTGGATTCAGAAGTGTAAAATACAGAAAAAATATTACAATACAACTTCAAATAATTACAATACACCTTCAAATAATTTCATACAAAGATCAATCGACGATATAAATGATACTATTACTGTTTATAATTTAAAGGGTTTCACAACCAATGTCTCTGTCTTTGGTGTGGGACCTCAGGGTTCACCTCCTGGTCAAGGTCTTCCAGTGGACTCACCACCCACAGGAAGGTTTAGGTACGGTGTAATGTGATTTGGGTGGCGACTGCTGCCCCCGCGACTCGGTAACAGATAAGCAAATGAAATGGATGGATGGATGGCTGGATGGATGGGTTTCACAACATTTTTGACAGAAATTACCTGGTGATCTCAGTATCTAAGGTAGGGGTGTCAAACATAAATTCACATTGGGCCAAAATTAAAAACTCAGGACAAGCTTGCAGCCAAACTTAATCCATCCATCCATCCATTTTCATCCACTTATCCCTTCCCCTAACCAGGATTATATCTTGCCCAGTAGGTGAACCCTGGGGTTCCACACCAATGACAGAGACATTGCCTCTGGGCCAAAGCGCCACTGGCCAAACTTAATATTTATTAAAAGAAATTGATCACAATTGTTCATGTTTTCCCTTCTCTCCAGATCTGTAATGCAGAGTTTTTTCTCCTGGAAACAAACTTTAGTTTTCCATAAACATTGAATCTGGAACAATCAAAGCTTAATATTTTAAACACATAAGAAATTAAATTTGAAATAAAACACGCATCAGAAGTATTTGTTTCTTATTTTGTCTTTTTATCTGTAGCCTTTCAAGTTCCTTTTTAATGTAAATCTTTTTTTCACAGACCAACAACAAAAAAAACCACATGTATGTGCTGCAACATAGCACATACACCGTTAATGCTACCAATCCTGACAAGTATATATGGACTATGTACTGGCGGGCCAACTCTAGTACACATTTGATATGATCTCGCGGGCCAAATATAATTACACAGTGGGCCAGATTTGGCCCCCGAGCCTGAGTTTGACAGCTGTGATCTAAGGCATTATTTAATGGTATTATAGACTAGACTACACTACTGGTCAAGATACAGCACGTTGGCTGTTTTACTACTAAAATAAGTAAATAAAATAAATATCAATATTCTTTTGTTACTATGTAAAATGGACATTATTGGGTTAAAAAGAATTGGCATAGAATTTATTTATTTAAAAAAAGTCTAGTTAGAAGGCAAGCAGTATAATTTTTTCATGTAGTATCGCTGGCCTATCACAATCACGAAAAAATGGTCATTTCTGATAAATGTATAAATTAGGAGGTAAATGTTAAGACTGCAGCTCTAACTCTAAATGGTGTACATCATGTCATTTTTGATTCATGTGATGTCTTAATGATCGACCCCTGACTGCGAATCCATTCTGCTTGACCTTATTAATGCATCACAACATCATCAATAATGAATCTCATTTAGTCTCACCAGCAAACTTCTAATGTTATGATTCAAAACATCCACGTCGCCACGACACGGAAAAGTTGTCAGTATTGCAACAGTTGTGGATGCCTCATTAGTTTGTCCAAGCCAATGTATTAATGAGTCCCACAGGGCAGTTGGGGACGTGTTATTAACAGTCTCTTCATCTAATTAATCCCAGGGCAATTAGCAAACCTCAGGTTAATATTGAAGCTCCTTGTTGTTTGTCATTGAAGCTTGTTTTGAAGTGACACCCGAAGGAGAATATTCCCTGGACAGACAGAGTTTACCAAACTTTAATCACCATCTATCTATCTATCTATCTATCTATCTATCTATCTATCTATCTATCTATCTATCTATCTATCTATCTATCTATCTATCTATCTATCTATCTAGCTATCTAGCTATACATATACATACATATACAAAAAAGAGAAGTAGACAATGTATGTGAAAGACTTCTAAAACTTCTAAGACTTCTTGTGCCAATTGAATAAGTGGCCACCACTGACCTCTGGGATCATTGACATGTTTGTGTGTACCAAAAGGCCTTCAGGCCTTTAGGACATTAGGACAAATAACCTCTCCTCAGAGAAATGGACACAACGGACCTTTGATTACATTCGATGTTTTAATTGATTAGAATCAGGGGAAAAGTAAAAACTGGGTAAAAGTTGGAAAAAGTAATGTGGTTCCATGATAAATTTACTATTACGTTAGAGATTGGTTTGTGATGTCTTTATAGATTTTGTCTAAAAAGAAACACAATCACGACTTGATGTAAGAATGTTTATATTGCAGCTGTATATTGTCATTGAAATATTTTATCAGAGTTGAGTTGATATGGTTCGAATTAATCTCAGTTAAATCTCAATATACAATATAAAATAAGATGTGAGTTTATTTCTTAGATGCTCAGACAAAGATTGCGATCTTTATATGGAGATCTTTATTTGTCACTCGGTTACAGACACTGACACACATGAGTTTGAAGACAGCTGTGAAGATCGTATGCCGGTGTAGTCAGATGGCTTTGCCCATAATGAGAAGGCTCAAGGAGAACACCATTATGAAAAAGATCCACATGAAGAAGCGATCTAAAACTTTGGCGACCTTCTTCCACTCCCCGGTTCTTTTCTGTGTGGCCCTCTGATCCCTGTAACAGTTGGAGATATACTCGATGTTGCGCAGCAGCTGCCTCTCGTTGTTTTGACTGTTAAAGGTGTTACATTCTCCATCTTTACTTTCACCTCCGCTTGTTCCATTCTTCCTGTTTCTCCTCTGACCCACCGTAGCCTCACAGTCCATGCTGTTGAAGATGCCATTTTTCCAGCAGCTGTACTGGTTGGTGGGGTTCTGCCCCATTGAGCCAATTGGGCTCACCATCTGGTCCATGTCCTCCTTGTCTTCTGACGTCTCCTCTCTCTCTAATGTTCTGTCACTTTTAAATATGCAGTCATCCTTGACGGATCCTGCTCGTCCGTTCATCGGGCAACTGTTTTTCTTTAGCGACGGAGGTTCCTGTTTTTCTGGCTGTGGAGACAGGCAGTTTTCACCCACCTCGTAGACAAAGCACACCTTGGCCAGGTACTGCAAAATGACCTTCTTGGCCCACTTAGGAACAGGCTTGGCATCTGGACCACAGTGGTGTATGTTCATGATGAAGATTGTCAGAGCGGTGGAGGCCGTGATCATCGTCATGGTCGCAATGTAATACTTCCCTGTAGGAAACAAATTCACGTAGAATGTCAGTTTTCTTCCCTCCTACTCATAGCTATGAATACATTATATTCATATTTATTTCAAAGCCAAGTTGTATATCATTATTACTATTATTATTAATAATAATAATACTAATTATTATTATTATTTCTATAATAATAATATTATAATAAGATATTTATATGATTAAATATCTTCACCTTTGCCTGAATCGTTACATAATCGTTAGGAAAATCATGGTCTTTAATTACTGATTACAGTGTGGATTTAATCACACTTCGTTGTCCTTACCAATTAGAGGTACGTTCTCAGAGGGAGGCATGATCTCTGCCACCAGCAGCTGGAAGACGGTGAGAGCCAACATAACAGTGACACCCAGAGACACTTTCTCTCCAGAATCAGCTGGTAAGTAGAAGCCCAGTGGAGCCAGAAAGGAGATCATCACACAAGGTATGAGCAAGTTGAAGACGTAGAAGGAAGCTCTCCTCTTCAGTTTCAGTGTGTAGGTCACATCTGGGTAGGGGTCAGCACAGCAGCCGTACTGAATGACGTTTCTTTTGGCCGGCATTCCCAGCACCTCCCACTCAACATTTTCTATCAGGTCGGCCAGGTCAGCGCTCTCCATTGCATTTAATATATCTAGTTGATTTCCATTGTAGGTCCAGGAGCCGTAGGTGAAGCGGCATTGCTGAGCATCAAAGGGGAAGTAGGACACGTCCACCCTGCAGGAGCTCTTAGTGATTGCCGGGGAATCCCACATTATCTGGCCATCGTGTTGGATCACCACGTTGGTGTCCATGGGGCCGGTAAAATGAGCATCTGCACTGGAAGACAAAAACATCTGGTCTCCAAAATAAAGTTAGTGTGTGTGTGTGTGTGTGTGTGTGTCCCTAGTCATAATAGAGGTTCCCTGTAATAACTTTAGAAGAAGAATGAATAGAAGCATGATCAGGATACAAAGGCACAAGTTCACCCACTGAGGGAGAGGTCAACACCAAGTGATGGGTTGAAGTGCTTCCTCAGTGCAGTGTCTGCATTTTATATGTATGACTAATTTGTCCAATAGTCTGCATTTTATATGTATGACTAATTTAAACTTCCAATTAGTGTCTGTTACATCTGGAGAATTCCAGTCCTCTTTGGTTTTATCAGTCGCTGACATTAGAAGTGACATCCAATGACATCTAGGCCACTATCCTAATTTACCTGGCCAACTAACAGCATCAAATTAGATGACATTTGATGTTCTTTGAATCTGGGGAATACATTGCAAAACAGTCACATATTGGGTCTCCATTTATATAATAAATTGGTGCGTGAGAAAAATGTGATGGTAGTTGGGAGTGTTTTTTATTGTTTTGTTTTGTTTGAGTGGGATTTCTCCACACAACAAAAAACACGTGTTTAAAAAAAATGAAAATCAAAAGCTGACATTTAATTAATAAATGTATGCTTTATGTATATGTGTAAAAAAGCGCTTCTCTATATCCAACTGTATGTCATGTGTTCTTGGTGAGGTCCTTGGTAA